GCAAATCCTGCAGCTCTCTGGGCAGAGGACCGCCCCAAGCCTTGAAAGGGCAAGTGCAGAGAGACCCTGCAAAGGGGCCCGGGGGGAGCACGCCCAGCATAGTCACGTGACCCCAAGGAGGAGTGGAGGTCAGAGAGGTGGGGACCCGAGTGCAGATCACGTGGAACCACAAAGGCCATAGAAAGAACTCTGGCTTTGACTGGAATAAGATGGGAAAGCATTTGAGCACATGTAACCTGATCTGTAAAAAAAAAAACTGTTATCACTTCAGCTGCTGTGTTGAGAAAAGACTGTAGGGGGCCAAGAGCAAAGCCCAGAGACTAGCTGGGAGCCTAACACGTAGGTTCCCCAGCAGGAGGAGACAGTGGCTTGGCCAATGTGAGGGCCACTGAGCTGGAAGACCTAGAGGGAGTCTGCATGCTTTCTGAAGGTGGGGCTAACAACATGGCAGCTAGAATGGATGCAGATACCAGAAAGAGAAGAGTCAAGGATGACTCCTGAGTTTTTTGGCGTGAGCAAACTCAAAGGATGGAATTGCCATTTACCAAGATGGAGAAGATGATAAGAAAAGCATGTGTGGAGGAGAAAGATCCAGAACTAGGCGTTTGGAGCATTTGGGTTTGGGATGTCTAGATTCTACCCCCTGTAGGCATTGTGTATATCACAGATCCAGGAGAGAGGTCTGGGCTGAGGGGGTAATTTGGGAAACATCAAAGTATTGATACTTGTGTGTGACGCTCTCCATTAGTGTAATTAGAATTATTCTAATAAAAAGGTTTGCAAGAACTCATCTGCTTCACAAAGCAAGATACCCTTGTGTATAAACTATATTGTAATAGTCCCATGCTGAGAAGTATCCCGAACTCACTTCTCCCCTTGAGGTTTGTGTGGTATGACATCTTACTTGCCCATTTCAAAGGGATTAAATGCCTCCCTCCCTTCCCTACCTTACCATATCCCCAAGAGGCAATTGTGTGGTTGCCAGCAGAGAACAGCTCAGTTGCTCTTACAGCACATTTTAAGGCAGAGGAGAAAAGCCTTCACTCTGGAATAGAAATCTCTCAGAGACAACTTGGCTCCAGGGCACCCCAAGAGAGTGGGGGGCACTGATACGGGAGGGCCCAGCAGGATGCTTCCAGGTTTCCCCTTCCCCTGGAGATGTGAACACCCAGGGAACACTCGCTGTGGGACGAGGGCAGTGAACTGTCGAAACTTAAAGTGTGTGCGCAGGGCGGGCGGCAGTGTCGAGATACGTGCAGGCTTTTCCACCGTCGCAAACGGCAGATGCCTAATTAAAGCATTTGCAATTAGTTTGGCTTGTTCTGTGATTCCTTTCTGCAAACAAATATGATGGGAGAATATATTAGCTCTTGGCAAATCTAGTTCTAAAAAAACTTTCTCTCCCGTGATTACTCTTTTGTCCTGCTCAGAAAAGAGCTGAAGCACTATGTACACACCCTGAAGTATGTGACTTACCTCCTTGTCCAAAACAGTATTTTTCCTTCCATTTCATAAAGGAGTGCAACTGCCCATTTGCCTTTAAAGCATGAGGATTTATTTTGAATTTAATACAAGTTCTTAATTTGGGTCTCTTAATTTTATTCAATGAATGTAACAGTCTTCCTAATTCTTGCCATCCTTCTGATTCAACACACTTGGCAATGTTATCCACCTCCTCAGAATGCAAATGCTATATTTCTTTAATGATGGGAAAAGCATTCAGTAGACTTCGAAAGAACTCTAGGGGTGAGTGTTTGTGTGTGTGTCTCTGTGTGTGTAAATAAAGAGTTGCACTTATTGCCACTTTACAATAACCACTTACTTGAAGGCATAGACTTTCTTTTTCACTGTAGGGGAAAAAAAAGCCTAGGTCTATTCTAAGTGGAGAAATGTGAACTGTTTGGGACTGTTTCTTTCATTTAATCATTCAATATTGACTTGAGTTTCTACAGTGGTTCTTATGAATCTTTAACCTATTTCAACTTAGATGTTTTATCCAATAAGTATATTCTGCAGGTAGCTACTGAGATCATGATTTTGGGTGTCTGTTGAACATTTACATATGTGGTTATATGCATTATGAGAGTGTGGCCCATCTCTAAACGGTGATAACTGCAAAACAGAACGCTTTGGGAAGACTGTCACCAAACAGTGTAAATAAGAAACATGAACTAGAATGCCTCTTTATATCAAGTTGAAAAAAGACATCACACAAAAAAGAGGTTTAAATCTGTTGGTCATTCATTTCTCCTTTCAGATTGGTTTGCAAAGTGCCTCATCTGAGAATGTCCTAAACCCAAAATAATAACAGAGAGTGGGGGGTTACTCAAGAGTTGAATAAAAGTCACCATATAAACAAGCATGGGTAAACCAAATTCAAATAATTAGTGCAGTTATTTTTTAACAGATGGTTTAGGTTAATAGGTGGAGACACAGTGTTGCCACTGTTGTATTTAAGGTTAGGTTAATAATTAACTTTCGTGCCTGGAGTAGTTTAATCAAAGCTTACTGTAAAAACTGCGCCATGCAGACTAAACAGGGTATTCAAAAAACCATGCAAAATACTTGCAATCTTGACCTCTGGTAGTCATTTGGAAAAAGTGTGAAAAAAGAAGATGTTTTCATTCAGAAATGTGCACTAGTATCTTTACTTTGGGGGAAAAACCTTCCTAAAGGGTTCATATTATCTGGAACCAACAATCTTCTCCCTGCCATGAGAGTGGCTGACTGTGGACTTCAAATGCCCAAGATGTATGTTGAAAGGAAGACCAGACAATTATCAGGATTAGAGGAAGGCAAGGCAAAGGCACTCGACCTTCGTACCCGGAAAGACTTCAGAACCGGCGCTGGGGGGCATTAAATAGCTTTCCCGAGACCTGCTGGCACAACACTGTAACAGGGTTAAACATCTTTTCAGATACCAAGCAAAGAAAGTTGGGCATACATGTGAGAGAGTGTGTTTGTATGAGTGTCTTCGCGCCCCTGTGTTTTAAACCTTTCATGGATCACATTCAATTGCAACTTGATTTTCATCCAGCCTAGGCAGAGAGTGATCCCACTGTGGCCGTCCCTGGCCACCACATTCCCAAAGCAGACGCCTTTCTCCCAAGGACCGATGCGGATTGGTAGCGGGGCTGCCCCCTGCAGTACAGGCAAGAGGCGGCCCCTGGAAATGCTCGCCTTGGCCGTGAAAACAGCGATTCCTACCCCGCTCCACGCACACCTGATTTCCTGCTCTGCCCCTCCTTGAACACCCGCCGGCTGGAAAACAGCGCGAGGGGTGCAGGAGGCTGGGATGCTGAGCTTGGAGCCAGCGAGCCCGGGCTCGTGCCTACACGCACCCGCGCGCCAGCCGCTGTCCACAGTGGCCCCGCCAGCCGCTGTCCACAGTGGCCGCACCAGCTTCCTGAGTGCTGCGCTGAACTTCCCCTTCTCGCCCCTCCCCACGCCCACCCCTTGCTCAATTGCTTGAGAGACTGGGCCAGCAAGTGTAGCGCCACGACCCCAACCAAGCTGACCACCGGTCGGGGTGGCACTCTCCGAAGGGCCGGCTGCTACCTTCTAGCCGTACGTATCCTGGGCGGTTCGCCCGCCTCCCTGGGGGTTCCGTTTCCCGCGGGCTGCACATGCTGAGCCCCAATTCTGTAGTGCCCCCCCACCCCTGGCCTTCAGAGAAACTTTCCAGAAGCGCCTGGTCGAGTGACCCCGCGCTGGAAAAAAAGGAGGCGGCGCTGGGCGGAGGGGCGGCGAGGGAGCGGGAAAGAGGAGTCCTGTTTCCTTCCCCCATACCCACAAATCCATACTGTTCCCTGGCTCCCCCTGTACCGTTACGGTCGTGGGAGGAGGGAACGGATCTCGGGATCCTGCTTTGCACCGTGTAACACAGTGGGGAGCTGAGAAAAAAGCGGAGCATCTGGGGGAAGAGACACTTGCCATCCCAGCAGGGTCGTGTAGAGTGGGTGGGCACTGTCGGGCTTGCTCCCGAGCGCCCCACTGCCAGCGAAGCAGCGCTCTAGACGCAGCAAGTAGTCCGGACAATCCAGAACCTGGGGCCCGGGCAGAGCTGTCGTCTGGTTAGCAAGCACTGAGCCATCTCTTGCCTGGTCTTCTCACCCTTCCCCCTCCCGGGACACCTTCTTTCCAGAGAGGGACCTCGTAGATTCTGGAAGACGGCACAGTGGGCGCCAGTCCCGGCGTGGCGGGTTCTGTGCTTGAGGGGGACACAGACACGACGGATGCTGTCTTCGCCGCCCAGGAGGGAGCTGCGGCGGGGAATAGGACCCAGGGCGGGGGCGCCGCGGCACACTGGGAGGAGGCCACTCGTTCGAGCAAACAAAGCCCGGAACCTCTGGTGCCAGCGTCCGAGGGACCCGGGATGTCACCAAGTGGTAGGGTGCGCGAGTGCCAGGGCCATTACAAGTTTCCCGCACTCCACTGAACCCAGCCCAGACCCCGCACCGACAACAAAAGATTCTCTTTGCTTCCCCACCGTATCTGCGGAACCCCTGAACCCAAACCTCGTGCCGAGCGAAAACAGCGCTCTTCTACCCAACCTCCTCCAGCCCTGGAGGGCAGAACCCCTTCCCCTGCCTTCGCACCAGGACCGGGCACTTCCGAGAATCTCACCCTTTCAGGGCTTCTCTGCTGCCTGCTGGCCCGAAAGTGAGGACGAGCCCCCGGGTACTGCATACACATCCCAGGGCCAGGGAGCTATCCGCGCGGTTGGTGTCCCGGGCGGCGCCTGGCGTGTGCGCAGCGCGGGTGGGGAAGCTCGCAGCACGGAGCCCGGCGGTCTCTGGGGCGCCGGGTGGAGAGGAGCAGCGGGCAGGGCTCGCGACTGCTCCCCCAGGGCCGGGCAACGCTTGGGAGACTGACACAAGACAAAATAAAACGCAAGCACCACAAAGCCGAGACAGGGCGTGCGGACCGCGGCCCCGGGACCCGCAGGAGGGAGCCGAGCCGCCCGGGAGGTGGGGCGCGCCGGGGCGCCCCAGCCGTACCTTTTCGGTGCATCGACGGGCAGGCGGCCGGGGCTCGGAGCGGGCTGGTACAGCGTGTATCCCATTTAGTAATCCATTATCGAGGGGATCTCTCCGGGCCGCGAGCTGCGCTCTCTCCTTCGCAAGCCTTTGTCATTCCTACATGTGTGCTTGTCTCTTTGGGGTAACAGTCGCGGCGACTACTTTCTGGGATGCAAACGCGCTGTATTCATCTCCAATGACAGGCGGAGAAGGGGAGAGGAAGAAAGAAAGAAAGAAACCAACAAGAAAGGAGTAAATGTTCAAGAAACTCTTCTCCAAATCCAAATTCCACTTGGATTCCACTCCGGCAATCCCTTCGGTAGTGTCTGCGCCGATTAACAAGTCATTTCAGGGTGGGGGGGCGGGGTGGGGGCTGGCGCAAGGGTTCGCCCTCTAGCCCCGCTCCACGGCTGGGAGCGCTACGCCGCGGGTGTGGCAATGCTGGCCGCTGCCGCCGCTCCTAAGCGGACATCGCGGGCGGTCGGCCCCGCGGAGAAGCGCCGCTGCTGCGTCCGGAGCGCCTGGACAGCCGAGTGCGTGGGGAGCGGAGTTGGCTGCAACCTCACCCCGTGCGTCTCACTACTCCTCTGTCACTCGAGAGGCCGCCGCTCCGGGGCGGAGCCAAGTCCCGGACTGGATTGCGCAGAGCGGACTCTCCTCCTGCAACCCCGCCTCCTTTGGCTGGCGTCTTCTCCGACCCAAAGGAGAGCTGCGGTCTATGTGTGCGAACACTAGCGAGCGAGGCGGAGAGACGGAGAACCTACGCGGTTTGGCCGCAGGTGGAGCCTTGGATCGACTGGCCAGCGCAGCTTCCTTCCATCACTATTCCCTGCCCCGCCGCGCGCTCGGCCGAGGTCCCCGCGGGGGCGATGCCGGCAGGAGGCCAGCCCTTGCCTCCCCCAGCCCCGCATTTGCTCTAGCAAAAAAAAAAAAAAAAAATCCCGGACAGCATTGCTGAGCTCTGACAAATCAGAAAAATTAATAAAAATAGACGTAGTGCAGGAGCGAGTCACAAGAAAGGATTTCATCGATTTTCTTAAATGGAAAAGTTTTAAAGGATGAGGGTGAGTGAACGGCGAACGTTTCTAATTCTGATTATTGTATCAAGAGGTAGATTCCAGAAGTGATGGACGCTCTGCGCACCCAGATGAATTGGATAAAATCCGGTGCGCTTAAAAATACACTTCGAAGATACGAACACAGCTATTAGTTAACGTACGTACAACACAACACGTTAATAAAGCATGTTAAGTAAGCAAATAAACTATAGTGGAAAGGATGCTGTTAACGAAGATTTGCTTTTAAAGTTAGAAAGTGTGTAAACTGTTCTTAGAAATAACTATGTAAACTTCAGAAATAAGACACAGTTCCAACGAGAATCCAACAGCTTCATGGAATAAGTAAATCTCAACTTCTTTCAAGGCGCTTTTGTTACCATTAGAAGAAGAATGGCAGGCACAGCCTTCCTCCTCCGCTTGAAAGTTCAGTCGCCAAAAAAGCCTTGCTGTTACAGGCTTGGGCCCACTGGGCAGGCCACACGATGTCCCCCCTACCCCGGCCGCTGCGCGCTACCCGCCTGCTTGCCCCGCAGACTGCGCACGGTAGCACGTTGCTCCCCGAGTGGGCTTCTCACTTCGTTTGGATCGTAGCCACAGCCTTTAAAGAAAGTAACACGGGGCGGCCAAGCAGTTCTCCGATCATTACTTACTAGTCGTGGGGTCGGCCGAGAAAAGCATTGGGAAGCAGATCAGGGTCTCAGTCGCCCTTAGGCCGAATGCCGTCATAGAAATGCAGTAGAAACTGTACCTGTTCCCTAATTGGGGCTAGGGCCACTAATAAGTCTACCCCCCCCCTTTTTTTAAATTACCGTTCCTACATGGAACTAGACTACATACAGACATCTGCTAATGAGGGCTCACGAAGAATAAAATAAGTGCACACGCGACAACAGTGTATGTATATATAAGATATATTTTCCACAAACCGTTTAGAAAAGGTGAGAAGGGTAAGCGGGAAAACGTCGGTCTCCCTGCTGTCTGCCAAAGGTGCCAGCAGGGGCCGCTATCCCCACCTTTCGCAGGCAAAAGCAGCTACAGATCCGCGGCGGCGGGGGGTTGGGGGGCTGCGGCCGTAGGTGCGCGCGCAGCCAGCGCGACACGCGGAGCCAGCTCCGAGAGGGGGCTGGGGCGTGGGGGCGGTGCTCTTGGCTGCGCGCTCCCGCGGCCCGGGTGGGGACTGGCTCGCGGACGTCCCTTTCGAATCCGGTCGGGACCCGGGGAGGGGCCCTGGCCGGCCGCCACCGGTCAATCGAGGCTATTTAACGCCCAAATTTCGGCGTTAAGTCCCGAGCTCGTCCGTGCGTCCCCGGCGGGGTCCCGCGGCCCGCACGTCGGGCCCAAGATGTCCCTGGGGTTCTCCGCCTGGTGTCTCCATCCCGGCCGGGTCGCCGAGGCCCCTTCTTCCTTCTCTGCCGCTGATTTACATGCTAATTGTGTCTGGGAAAAGTTCTTTAATTGGCAGGATTAGTCAGAGCAAACGAATTGTTTCACAGGCTGAACTAAATTCCGGGTTTAGCGTCTTCCCTTGGAGAAACAGACAAACTGTTTTGTTTGTTTCATGGATGTATTGGAAATGCCCCACATCGAGTTTCAGAATATGTTTTTAAAGGGAAATTATTTTCATTATTAATACTTACATGTTTAATTTGCAGTAACGCTGAGCCAAGAAGCAGGAGATTAAATTTACCTAGTTTAAAATTAGAGAATACAAGAAGAAAAGACTTTGAGTTAATTTTCGCACGGCTGAGAAATATCACCCAGAATCTTCCTGGCAATGACTAAATCCTGAAGCCTCACCATCCAATTAGGCACTCGTCATCCTGACCAGGTGAGATTACATTTCCACCTGCCGGGGGAGAGATGCTTCTGAAGCTGGCAGAAAAGCCAACTGTTGTGTCGCTCCCAAGCCCTCGGGGGAGCACCTGTGGGAAGGCTGCCCCCTGAAACCTCATGATGTCATTTCCCCTTCTGTGCGCTGCTGCAGACTCACTCCCAGAAGCCTGCCTTAAGTTTTCAGTAAAACTTCTGCCCTTTCAAAGCCTTTGAAGTCTGCAATCCACCCTGTCCCTTCAGGGAAGAAAGCCAATGGGAGTTAAAGAATCACCAAGTGTTAGAACTAGAAGGAAACTTGGACTGTTTCGTAGTTAAGTGGCATGAAGTGGAGTGACCAATGCCCCAGTCTCTGGAAGCCAGCTGTTGTTAGGGTAACTTACTAGCTGGTGACCTTGGGGCGGTCCCTTATCTCTCTGGAGCAGTGGACTCACTTGTAAATGAGGATTCAGCTACTACTGTCTTCCCAGGGATGGTGTGGATTAAATGAGATGGTGAGTGTAAACCATGGGTCTAGGGATAAAGGTTAACTAGCATCTGTAAAGGTTAACTAGCATCATTGTCATCACCCGTGTCGATCCTTCCACCACCGTTTACAGGGGTCAGACAGAGGCAGAGGAAAAAGGTGGCTTGCTTTGTGTCAGTGCTGGGAGCTAGCCCGTAACAACTCCTCTTCAATAAGCCCACAATGCTGTGCCCCACAGCACCTGGAAAAAGTGTGATGAAGGAGAAGAGGAACTGGAAAGGTAAACTCAACTCACCCAGGAACCTTTGGAACCTTTATTTTTTCTTTGCGGTACACGGGCCTCTCACTGCTGTGGCCTCTCCCGTTGCGGAGACCAGGCTCCGGACGCGCAGGCTCAGTGGCCATGGCTCATGGGTCCAGCCGCTCCGCGGCATGTGGGATCTTCCCGGACTGGGGCACGAACCCGCGTCCCCTGCATCGGTAGGCGGACTCTCAACCACTGCGCCACCAGAGAAGCCCACCCAGGATCCTTTTAAAGACCGCATCCAGCTGTTTGATCAGAATCTCTGCTTTACTACAAAAGGGAGTAGTGAACTTGGAAGAAGTGTCTGCTGGTGTGCACTGCTCAACTCCTTGTGGGTATGAGTTCCTGGAGCACACTGGGGAGTGCAGTTTGCACAATCAGGCCATTACCGCTCGTGATCAGGGAGCCTCTCTGTGTCTGTCTTTGGAGTCCCTTCTCCAAAGTTCACCTGCTTGCCTTAAATCAGTGGTTTTAAAATCCATTTGTACATTAGAATTACGGGGGAGCTTTTGAATGGCGGAAATCCCTGGGCTCCAGAGATTCTGATCTATTGGTCTGGGGTGGGGGGACATGGGCATGGATATCTTTCAAAGCTTCCTGGGTGGTTCTAGTGTGTAGCGAGGGATGGATGAGAGCCACCATCACCATGAATCCTGGCTCTGTTCTAGAACACTGCTTTTTTCCAGCCTTCTTTGATGAGGCTGTTTGTTATCCTTCTTGCCTGTTTATCCCAGTGTCAGGAAGTGCGGTTAGTGTCCTTCTTGCTTCTCAGACCACTTCTCCTTCTCTCAAAAACTCCCAGACCATTGGAGGCTGTGCGCTACAAAGACATTGGCACTATCTTCCACAGACCTCATTTTACCTCACTTTTAAAGATTTAGCACCAGGCTTACTGTCCTTCTACCTGTCCCACCACCTGTCACCATTCATGGGAGTGTTAGCGTCCACCTAACTACTAACCCTCTGCTTTTTCAGCTTCTTGCCTTCCTCATCAATACTGTCCTTTGTTCCTACTCCCCTCTGCCCCCCACTCCAGGGCTTCATGCTGGGCCTTGTTATCAGGAAAGGTGCCACGTTCTAAATCGCTAGTTCTGACATCCCCTCTCCAATCACAGCTTCCTCTCGTTCCACCTTACTTGCCCACGCACCTGCCTGCGCTCACTCTGATTGCAGGAAGCCCTCCAAGCCGTGGGTCCTGCCGCTCTCTCCATCCATCCATTCCCTGCCTCTTTCATTCCCCTCTGTGTCCAGCAGAGCTTTATAATAACAGTGTCTCTCTGGCTAACACTTTCAACTCCTGGCTCCTCTTTCTTTTGGTCACACTCATCTGAGTGAAAACCAGTCCCGAATTATAGAAATACCACCCTTCTCTGCTCTTGCATCGGGTAGCTGAAGCCTACTAGAAAAAACATTTCAAGCACGCATCTAGGTAGGCTGCACACTCAGTCGTCAGCCTCAGTTGGGTACTCAACGCTGACTCGTCATCTTCCCTTCCTCTCAGTTAGTCTCTAACTTTCTCCCCTAATTGGATATTTCACCCTCAGTGCCTCCTACTTCCCTGAAAAAACAGAGTCCATCAGATGGGAACTTCTTGCATCTGTACTCATCATTTCCTGCTTATCTCCTTACGGTGGAGGCAGTGTCCCTCCTCCAATCTGAGGCCAATCCCTCTACCTGTTTTCAGATCATTTACACGTTCTCAGAAATCTTGTCCTACTGTCTCCAGCTCTTCTGCATCTCCCCATCCGCACATAAACAGGTTTTAGTCTCTCTCATCTTAGAAACAAGCCTTTCTAGGGTTTTCTGTGCCTTTTACCCCTTGTCTCCTCTCTTCCAAAGACAAAGGATTGTTGACAGTCTGCATTGCCACTACCTTCTCTCCCACTTGCCCATTCCTGCCTGGCTTGTGTTCCCAGCATGCCTTTGCCAAGGCTTTTGCTCTTGTCTTCCGTGACATCCATGACGGTAAATCCAGTGGACGTTTTAAAGTTTGATTTTATTTGAGGTCTCGGCGTTGATGCACGTGACCACT